TCTCATCCCTGTTTATTGAGGGGCCATTGACTGATATTGCAGAAAATAAAGGGAGGCTTCAGCTCATTTGTGTTTTTGGTTTTTTTTTTTAAATTTTATTTATTTGACAGAGAGAGACAGCGAGAGCAGGAACACAAGCAGGGGGAGTGGGAAAGGGAGAAGCAGGCCTCCCACCGAGTAGGGAGCCCGATGTGGGACTCGATCCCGGGACCCCAGGAGCCGAAGGCAGACGCTTAACGACTGAGCCACCCAGGCGCCCGCTTCAGCTCATTTGTGAAGGAATATAGGAAACCAGCTCCTAACTTTAATTCAGCTTTATGGAATTGTTTTGGGAAAAAAAAAATAACTAAGATATTTGACCATTATAAGTTGCTAACTATAGTAAGAATCATAGCTTTAACCTTTGAAGGAGATCTTCAGTGATTTCTAGTGAATCAAAAGACCCTTTTTCTCTGCCTCCCTGAAAAACTTCACAGAACAACAAAGACCTAACCTATGAAAGATTTTAAGTTCTTATTGTTTCGAAGTAGAACTTGGATTTTGAGATATTTTCAAGTTTGGAAAACTAATTTCTGACAGTGATAAAGGTAAATAAAACACCCAAATCCTTGTTTGTATTTTGTTTGGAATTTCTAAGCAAGGATATGAAATTAGAAGCAGTCTATAAGCACTGGAAGTGTCTAGGATAGTTAAGCCTGCTTATTTTCTTTGTTCTTTTAGGTCTGTTCCAAGATGAAGATTCATGCAGTGATTGTAGCAATCATGATAAGCCAGGTTCCAGTTTACCAAGTTTTGTGCCTTCAGGAAAGACTCATTTCCCAGAAATATTCCAGACAAGTCAACTTTTGTTCTATGAGCGATTCAAAGCTTATCAAGATTACATTTTAGGTGAGTAGGTTTTTCTTTTCTTTTCCTTTTTTTTCCCCCTGCTTTTATCTTTTCAGTTTGCAAGTAGATTGTCTGTCTCAGTCTCCAGATTGCCAGTTGGTATTGAGAAAGTGGACTTATTAACTTTTCTCTGCTTTATGCAGTCTCAATTCTTACTGTGTTTAATCTGTTTGTAGCTGACTGCAAGGCCTCTGAAGTAAGAGAATTCACAGCTGAGTTCTTGGAGAAGGTCCTTGAACCATCTGGATGGCGGGCAGTCTGGCACACTAATGTGTTTGAGGTGCTGGTTGAGGTAAATTTAATTCTGTTGTTAAGACATTTGTCTCTAGCTAAAAGCACTTTCCTTCAGACTGTTACAGCCAAAGTGCTTATTTTTAATTAAAGTTTATGAGCTGATTGAAAATAGCATGTTTTTCACATCTAATTGTCATGGTGTATGAAGTGTTCTGCAAATTTTAAAGGCAGCCAAGGAGGAGCTACCAGGGAATTGAGATGGTTAAAGTTCCAGTGTCCTTTGACAAGGGGAAATGAATTATAAACCTATGAAGTGGAGGAGGTATTTGAGACCATTTAAAAAATAAAGAGGTCTCATTATGAAGTCAATGGAATTTCAATTAATTTTTTACCTTCTTAGTTGTAGCCCATTAAATAACTCAAACCAAGCAGGCATTTTAAAACTGGCCTATATTTTGCCTAACAAATCCGTAGATATATGGTCAATCTCTTGATAATGTGTCCCATTGTCAAAAGTAAAAACAATCTTATTTTTCAACTGACTGGTCCTTTTACCTTAAATTTGCATTCTAATTACAGCTGTGAATTTTTCTCAGTGTTTGTTAACTGGACCACAGAAAACCCTGTTAACTAAAATGTTAAACCAGGGAGTGAGAATACAAGTTGTTGCTGCAGCTCTTTTAGAAAATGATATCATTTACTGCAGTGATTATGGAAGAGGCAGTGGGTTGCAGCTGTTCCTGGTGATTTAAATTTCGTATTATGTTAATATCTTTGGTTGCAGTAAAGGCCTGTTAATTTGGTTACGGTAATGTTGTCATCTGTCCTGTCGGCTGTCCACGTCCAACCCCCGACCTCCACCCTGATCCACTCTCTAAAAGTTGTCAAAGTCATTGTTTTAAGAGAGAAATGTGTCATTCCTCTGCTTAAAACCTCGAATGCATTGCATTTACCAAAGCCCTGGTGTTGGCTTTGTAGCTTCTCATTGTCTAGAGAATACAAAATCCAAGCTCCTTCCAATGCCCTTTCTGTCCTGATCTCTTTGCCCTTTTCTCTCACCTCATCTCCTGCTGCCCCTCTCCCGGCCCGTTTCTTTCCTTTGGTTCCAGCAAAAAATACTGCCTGTCCGCTACTCCAGCAGCCAAGCTTTTCTCTGCCACAGGGCCTTTTCACCTTCCTGCTCTTCAGATGGCTGCTTCCCTTTCGTCCTGTACATCACAGCTAAGAAGTGACTTCTCCCGACCATCCCAGCAAAACCAGACCACCACCCCTACTGGTTATACTTTGTCACATGCTCATCACCATCTTGTTTGTCTCCTCAGTTACAGTGTAAGCTCCATTTGGGTAAGAGCCAGGCCCTTCTTGTTTATTTTTTATATTATGGAAGGAGGCTCCCTGTTCCCATTACACGCATAAAAAAAAAAATCAGGCTACTAGTAGTGTTTTTTAAGTATCTTAATTTTGATTTCCATGTAAATCATATTATTTTAAATTTCAGGTCACCGATGTGGACTTTGCAGCCTTGAAGGCAGCGGTGAGGCTTGCCGACCCATACCTCTGTGAATCTCAAGTGAGCTCTTTTACCTTGGAGTGTATGAATGAGCTCCTCAATTTGAAGGAACATCGGTTGCCCCTGCAGGAGCTGTGGGTGGTGTTTGATGATTCTGGAGTATTTGACCAGACAGCTCTTGCAATTGAACATGTCAGGTAGGAAGAGAGGAGAGTTGATAAAAATAACCTCGTGGCCAGAAACTTTGGATGAAATGCAGTAATTCTGGTCTGTGTTATATACCCAGATTTAAAACTCATACTATAAAGTTGGTCATTGCAGTGTTTTAAAATATTCAAAGATAGGGGAATCTTTTTTAAATTAAAAAGATTTAAAAAGCATTTTAAATTTTCATTTTGAGATAATTTCAGACTTATAGAAAAGTTGAAAAAAATACACAGAATTCCTGTATGGCTTTTATTCAGTGTCCCCAAATGTTAACAAAGGATAGGGGATTCTTCATTTGGTTTGCATATGTTTAGAAACTCTTAAAAGTTGTGGATGCTAAGGTTTATGGTTGATGTACTTGAATATGAGGAAAGGAGAGAAAGTGAGGTAGGTGGTACACCATGTCTTGTGCACCGATAAAAGACACATCCCCCCCCCCCCCAAGAATGTATCTGGCCAAAGAAGGTGTCTTCTTAGGTCATTTTCAGGAACCTTAGGGTATATGTTCATACCTTTCAACCTTTTTTGGCATACTTGATTTCCACTTGAACATGTACACTCCTTGTCCTTTGAATGAGGAGGAAACTTCTACCTGGATTAAGTGGTGAGTGGTTTTTTTTTTTTTTTTTTATTTTAAGTCTCGTGTAGTTAACATACAGTGTTATATTAGTTCCAGGTGTACAATATAGTAATTCAGCAGTTCCATACATCACCCAGTGCTCATCACACAAGTGCACTCCTTAGTCCCCATCACCTATTTCACCCGTCTTCCCAATCACCTCCCCTCTGATAACCATCATCAGATAAATCTTTTGTCAGATAGTTCCTGATACAGATAGTTCTTTTGGATCTTCTGTGTTGTAAGTATATTCACTAAGGAAGGCTGACTTTTGTCTATTTAAAAATGGACTTCTATTCCTCTAGGAACTGGGAGACTGGATAATAGAATGATCATTAATAGTGTGGCATAATGTCTTATAGTTTTCAGTTTTTAAGCCATTAGTGAGTTAACCTGGTTTTGCTGAGCTTAATTTGAATGCTCTACAAAGAAGCAGGATATTTCTCGGGCCCTGCTTCCAAGATCTTATGGAAAACTTCTAATTGTATCCAAGAACTTTTAATCCTATATGTTCAGTATTAGGCCAAGTAATATAAATCTAAACAACTGGCTTCTGTCCAGAACCAGAATAATTCTCTTGTTTCTCTCACTTGAAAAAAATCTGTCAATTGAAGCATTTGAAGGTAAAGGGATAATTGATGAGTTTAGGAAATTAAGAGTCAGGGAGCTAATCTCTAGGGGTATTGAAGTTTGTAGAAAGACTAGTATTTAGAATTAGTAATGGTATTATTTGAAGGTGAGCCTGGCTAAATTTATTCTTCATTTTGAGGGCTCAGATTCTGGTCAATGCCCAGAAAATTTCAAATTATTCAGGTTCTCATTTGTTTATTCAATGAATATTCAAGTGCTGGGTCCTGAATTGAAGGGGAGATTTGACTGGTACATGAAACTGACACAATCACCATCACCAGGGGGCTGTCAATCTAAAGGTGGGAGGTGAATCTTAATCACACAACGGTGTATATGTGATTGGAAACTGCAGTGAGTGCAGTCAAGAGGTAGAGTGTTCTAAGACTAGGTCACTGACTGTTACATGGTTGTCTCCTGAGGAAATGGCATTTGAACTTGGGTCTGAAGTGTTGGCAAGGTGGAAAGGGACTGTGGCAGGGGTGGGGAGGGAACAGTTTCAGGAGCTGAGTAAGTTTAAGGCGCTGAAAGGCCAGTGTGGCTGGAACACAGACAGTAATGAGGGAGGCTTAGGAAACCAGCTTATAGGTTGTCAGGAGGGAGAATATGCAGGACTTTGTCATCCAGTTAGTCATTTTTGTCTTTAAGAGCACTGGGGAAGCACTGAAAGGTTTTTATTCAAAGGTGAATAGGATCAGCTTTTTGTTTTAAAAGGTTCATTCTGGCTGCTGTGTGGAAAACAAATGCAGGGAGATGGACTAGGAAGACCAGGTGAGGGGCAAGAGAGTGGACGGGAGTGGGGTATGGAGAGGACACATGGAGGCTTCCCGACAGGGTAGGATGGCTGGGACTTGATGGTGGAGTGGATCTGGGGGATAAGGAGATATGAGTGGATATGGCAGAAGTCAAGGTTTCTGTCTTGAGGGAATAAACACCGGAGGAGGTGCAGATGTGAATGGTGTATGAATGTCCAGTATGGTACTGGTGAGCTTACTACTTGAGCTGGGTCTTGAAATGTGGGTATAAGCTCACCAGGTAGAGAAGATGGACAGCCTGACCAGTATGTCACACGGAGGTTTGCAAGAGCTTGTGAAATGGGAGTTGGCATGTAGGAGGTCTGAGGCAAGAGAGGAGCTCTAGAGCCAGATTGTGAACCCATGGAACACTGCCACGCTCAGGATTTTGAACTTCATTCTGAGGGTAGGAGCCAGCAGTTTTTTTAATTGAGTAAAGGCATGCTCAGGTTCATTTTTTTTAAAGATGACTCTATAGGGTACACCTGGGTGGCTCTCTTTTAAGCGTCTGTCTTCGGCTCAAGTCATGATCCAGGATTCTGGGATCGAGCCTAGTGTCAGGCTCCCTGCTCAGTGGAGAGTCTGCTTCTCCCTCCCCCTGCTCTTGTGCTCTCTCTCTCCCTCAAATTAAAAAAAAAAAAAAATCTTAAAAAAAAAGCTCCAAACAACAACAGAAAAATGACTCTAGAGGATGAAGAGACTGGCAGTCCAATCTACAAGGATTAAGAGATGGCTTCATTTTCACTGCTCCTTTTCACAGCAGAACTTCTTGACAGAGTTCTGTGTAGTTTCAGTCTGCACTTCTTGGCATTCCAGTAATGCTTCTGCCCCACAGCCCCACTGAAATTGTGCTTGAGGTCACCAAAGTCCTCCATGTTCTCCTTCCCCATCACCTCTTCTCTGATCATATCTTGCTTTCCCTCTTGGTCACATTCTAGTTATTTGATCATTTCCATCTTTTTAACACACTCCCCTCCAGCTTCTTAGTCATCTTGGCCTGCTTTTCCTCTCTTGCTCAAAACTTTAAAATGTTGGAGTTACCCAGGGATCCGTCCTAGACTAGTTACCCTTCTCTCTCTTTAATCAGCCTTGGAAGCACATTAGAATCACCTGGAATTGTTATTTTATAGGAGTGTTTTTTTTTTTTTTAAATCAGTGTGCTTTTATTCACAATGCTCTGGTGTTCATAAACAATGCCACTGATAAATTCTCTTACCCATCGGATGGACCACTGTTACTGCCTCCCCTGGCTGCCTTTACTCATTATCGTCCTGCTGGTCAAATTTATATAAAAGACCAGGTTATTAGGATTTTATGTTAAGTGCATACAGCAATCTTCCCCACAGCATGTATAGTATTGTCCTCTTTTAATTAAAGAGACATGTGTGTGCATGAGCGTGTGCATGCACACACACACCTACATATACACATGTATACACATTCATGGAGACAAAGTCTGGAAAGCATGTTTATGCCAGACTGTTGAAAACAATTATCTCTCATAGTGGGATTACAGGTAAATTCACTTTTTTATAAGCATTATTTGAAAAAAAAAAAGAAACCACCCACTATTTTTGGTGGTGGCTCTTCTGATCATTATTTATAGGAGTGTTCTAACTAATACATGAAGAGAGAATGATAGGATCAGAATATTAATATTTTATAACTTATAATAAATAAATGTTCTAGGCAATGATCATGATTGGCTACTACAACCATTGGTTAAAAACTCACAGGGGGAACTTGGTAGTGGATGTATCAGGCTGACAAACCTGAATCCAATGGTTTCTTAACCTCATCATCAGAAGAGATGACCAGGTATCATATACTTCCTGATGGAAGTACATTGTGTCTCTTTTTAAGTACCCTTGCTAAAAAAAATCTTTCCTAAAGCTGATCAAGTCTTTAGATCTTACTGTCTGTTTACCAGAAGTAAAAGAAACAGAAGAACATGTTAAATGACCCCATGGGGATGCAATCAATAAAATTCAGAGTGTGGAAAACTGTTAAATAAATTGCAAGGAGAAAAGGAGGGGGGGATAATCTGTAGAATAAAAGCGATTTAATTAAATACAATGGTTGACCCTTGTTTGGATCCTTACTTGAACAAGCCAATGGTAAAACAACAGCAACAATAGCCGAAGAGACAAACAGGGAAAATTCAACACTAACTGGATATTTGGATATTAAGGGAATTATGACATTTTCTTGATATCAAGATTTATTTTAAAGCTACATACTAAATTTTGTGAATGATGTTCTATGTTTGACATTTGCTTTAAAGTAATCCAGTGTTGGGATGGTGGGGGTGGGGAGCAGAGAAGTAAGTGGGTAGGGTAGAGATGAAAAAAGATTGCCTATGCACTGATAATTGTTGAAGCTGGGTGATGCATACATGGTATTCATTATACTACTTGCTTTTGTATATGTTTGAAATTTTCCATAATAAAAATTTGTTAAATCACTTGGAGAGGTTTAAAAAAATTGAATTCTGTATCTAACCCCCAACTCCCCAAAGATTCTGATTTATTGGTCTGGAATAGGTTTGGGAACCAATTTTTAAAAGCTTCCAAGGGGACTCTAACATGCAGTCAGGTTTGAGAACTGCTGCTTTATATTATGACCCTAGATGATCTCATCCGTTGCTTTAATGCCATCAATATGCTGACAACTCCCAGATTTATGTTTTTAGCCCTGACCTTTCCCTTGGGCTCTGGGCTTGTATATTCATCTTGACTCTTGACATCATCCACTTGGAGGTCAGATAGGCATCTCCATTCAAACATGGAGAAAACAACTCTGTTTTTAACCTAAACCTGTTTCTCTACCAGTCTTTTCTGTCTTAACAAATGGCACTACCATCCACCCAATTATAGATGGTCAGTAAATCTTTTTCTTCTTTTTTTGATTTTATTTATTTATTTAGAGCACAAGCTGGTGCGGGGAGGGGCAGATGGAGAAGGAGAAGGAGAATCCCTGCTCAGTCAACCTGGGACTTGATCCCAGGTTTCTGGGATCATGACCTGAGCTGAAGGCAGACACTCAAGCAACTGAGTCACCCAGGCACCCCAATAAATAGTTCTAATTAAAGATCATAATGGAACCAGTGTTGTAGAAAAATTTCTTTAGCCAATCCATAGAAGTTCTATGACTCCTGACTCTCGAGTCTAACATTTATGCAACATTGTCTACTGGAGCTGATACAGTTTTGTTTTACTCTTTAGCTTGCACCCCTCCAAACCTTAACACTGAGCCAGTGATTGAATTTGAATGATATGAATTTCCTTTTCAGGTTTTTCTATCAAAACATTTGGAGGAGCTGGGATGAAGAAGAGGAGGATGAGTATGATTATTTTGTCAGATGTGTTGAACCTCGACTGAGATTGTAAGTATTTATTAGTGACCTTGTACATGTTGGAAAAATTGTTGTCCATGGTTTAATTTTACCCATCTGGTGTATATATACTTCAGGGGCCCACACATAGAAGAACAGGCCACCATACAAATAGTATAACCCATTGAAAAGTTATTAAATGAAACTTGTGCAAGGGCAGAGTAACCTACTCATAGTTTATAAACTGAGTAACAGCAGAGTTCAGGGATATTGAAGTTAAATAGCTAACTGTTTTATAAGTCTAAATAAAACTCAGTTGAGCTAATGTGTTTTAAAAAAAAAGCTCTGTATTAAATTCAAAGACAGTTGTTTGAAAAATAGTGAAATTAGTTGAATTATAGAAGACTTCTTTTGCTTTAATTTTTAAAAGAGTACTTTAAAAAATATTTGGCTTTATTCTAAGTTCCTACAGTAAAACACACTAGGTTAAACTAACAGAATTATTTCAGGGTGTTTTGTCAAGTTCTTGTCTTTGAATCTTATTTGACAAATGGATGAAAATACTAAACAGTTAATATTGGTGTGCATAAAAATTTCCTAAATACTGAAACACATTCTTTTTCTAATTTGTCATATTTTAATAGGGAAAAATGCTTACGTTATAAAAAACCTAGCTTAACCATGCAACCCAAGTAGTTGTTCTGCACTGATTTTGTTAAATGTTCATTCAGATTTCCACTAGGTGGTACTCTAAGACCAGGTAATTTTTCTTCTATTCATAAGTGGTAATTTAAAGGCAGTGCTGCAATAAGAAATTAGAACTTGCACTCAAAAAAAATTTTTTTTCCTCTGTGAAAGATGATTGGTTACATAAGATAAGGCAGTTACCCTTTACATTTTTGTGGAACCCAATTAGATTTAGTAAGTTTCTCTTGGTTTATATAGTAAATAATAAGTAAAAAAATATGTGAAAAATCTAGTTAATGGTTCTACCTGATTTAGAATTATGTATGATTTCTATTTAGCCTTTCCAATTTTTCCATTGTGCATTTCCTGTTTTCCCATAGTGTATTCAATAAAATGCCAGGATTTCAATAAGCTTACATATTTTCTAGTTTTGGTACACTTGCTCTTAGAAAGCAATGATTGGTTTTGATTGAAGTGAAATGTAATGGTAGGTGAGTATTATGTATCTAGCAAATTTGATCTTGGAAAGGACTGTATTCTGAGTTGACTGCTTTACATGTTAAAACAAGAAATGATTTACATACATACCTTGTACATCACTGTTGGGAAAGCCTAAGGGAGGAATTGTTTTCAGTTATGGAGAAGAAACTACGGTACTTGTTGGGGAAACTGGAATGTTATCAAATGTAGGCAGACTCTATAGAAGGTCCCTAGGCAAAGATAGGAGTAGTGTTATCAACAGGCAGGATTTAAAGGGAATCAAGCCATATTGTCTTGATTTTGTACTGTAAGGTAAATGTTTTTCCTTTTTAATTCAAAACACTGTGCTTCAAAGCTTATGGGTCTGAGACACAGATGTTGGTTCATTGCTTCCAGACCACAAAGTATCACTTTAATGAGAAGAAATAAGGTGATTGGCATGGATATTGGAAATGCTAAGAAACTTCTTTTAAAATTTGAGTCTTAATCTTCATAACTTAATAGACCTGATCAAGCAGTCAGTGGTTTGGTTCCCAATTGTTTGTTTGCAAAGTGGATTTCTAGAATATCTTTAAATGAGTATGGATTAACCAAAGCAGACAAAATCCATGCTTTTCAAGCTTCACCTAATTCATTTCCTTGAAAAGTGGAAAAAAATTATTTTTTATTTATTTTAAATACTGTTTGAATGTTAACTGTAATTTTTTTTTTTTTTTAAAGATTTTATTTATTTATTTGACAGAGA